GATGATTTGGGCTTCTGTTGTAAATGACTCCATCCATGAAGAGTAAGATTTCTGCTCTGGGTGTAGAGTGGATGACTATTTAGCATTGAGAGTGGGCAAACATTGACACTTGTTGTAAGTGCCTAGGCCCAGGACTAATAAGCATTCTGCTTTGGGCATTTAGTGGAGCATTTTATAGAGTCCTCAAACACTGGCACTTGGTTGTGAATGCTTTAGTCCAAAGCTAATAAGAAACATGATGATTAACTGCTAAGCAATCACACTTCTGTATGGACGAAGGAAGCATTATGCTGTCTTGGCATGTTTGATTTTTTTGTTCACTTGTGCCATTTTGTGTGGTGTGCCTGGATCTGATAAGGGAATAGTTTTTCTTTCATGAGACATCGAGGGGCCCTTCTTGGAGTAAATTGCTTGGCATACAATATGACAATTATAAAGATGCATAAAATCTATGTTTTCAAAGAATATGACAATCAGGGTTTATCTATTACTGATAATTCTAGTGTCCTGGTTGCAATATATTTTGCATGGATATTGAGTTGAATATTGAAATTGTTTTGAGTTTCAAACCGGTCACTTTTCTTTTTCTTGGTCAGGGTTCTTGTTTTGAGAATAATGAGTTGAGTTTCTGTAGGGCATTCAGGATTTTTACCTCACAAGATGATTTATGGAGTTGAACTTAATGTCAATATTACTATTGTTGGTTTTACCTGCTGCAAGTATAATGATTTCATTACCCCTTTCTTCCTGTGGCATATGCCTAGCTTAAACTTTGATTTCTTGGTGCAATTCTCCTAACTACAGGTATGTATTTTTCAATTAGAAATGATTTTCTTGATAGATTATAATAGGACATGCTCAATTAGAAGCCAAACAAAACAAATGATACACGCCTTTTCTTTCAGCATCCGTATGCATATGTTTTTAGAAGTCTCATCTCATGTGTTGCTTCTACCCTTTGGTTTTTCAGTTAGTAGCCAAACAAAACAAATGATACACGCCTTTTCGACAGTGCGCTAGAGATTATTTTACATCTCTTTGTCTCTCCTTCTATGCCACTTCTATTTTGGAAGAACAAGTTGGTTTGCAAATTGTTCGACAAATTGCCAATGTGGAACAAATTTAAAACATGAAGTTTTTGTTAGATTTGTTTCAGCTTGATGATGAGTGCTTGGTGATATTCATGAGTTAATTCTATGTTGCTTAAACTTAAATCAGTAATTTATTTTGTTATATTTGTTTGTGGCAGGTGTGGAAGGTACAAGACAATTGTGTTACTGAATTGTGGCAGTTGTGTTGCTCTATCAAAAAAAGAAAACAACTCGGAACATGATTGTTTTCTTAATTTCTCGTATCTAAAGTTGTATATATTTTAAATACAACTCAATTGCTGAAATTTTTTTCTTTTGGAATGTAAACTGTATTCACACATTCATGTGTGCAAATATGTCAAAATGTACAAGTCAAACCCAAGCAACATAGAGTATTATTGAACTGGTTCCATGATTAATCCAATTCATACCCGACAAATATCCTCTATAAAACAACTTTACAACTCCTTTCTCATTTCTATTTGAAATATCATCCAAATATATATGAATGTAAATATGAACTAAACTATCTAAAAAAACAAAGAAAGGAAAAATATATAACATCTCACAGCTTTTCAGGTTTTAGATGTGTTATACAAATCCAGGACTTTCACTTTAGACATAAAAATTCTACAAGCATGGTCANAGACTTTCACTTTAGACATAAAAGTTCTACAAGCATGGTCAATTTGACATCATATTAATCCAAAGGCAAAAGTAATCTTTTCTTCATTGTTTTACCATTTACAAAATTGAATGAGTTCCAAAATAAGTGTACAATTTGCAATTCAATCCTTCTAAGAGGCAGCAACTCAATGTCTCCCAACATAACAAAACCAGTTTCACCGTGGTCAGCATGTCAAATGTCCAAAACAGAGTAACTTTTACATAGACAATTCATCGAACACTTGGTGAACAAAGTCCGATCTAAGTTTCCCTTTCTTATGCAGGAGCGGATTCACTTTTGCCTCAATGGATTCACTATAAGTGTGGACAAAAATGGGTGCCAAAACATGTAACGGTGAGGAAGAGGAGGGAAAAAAGGGGAGGGAAGAGAAAGGGAGGAAAGGAGAAGAAATGAAAGAACAGGGGCAAAAAAATAACCGTGAGCTGCTGGGTCGTGAATGGGAAAGACAGGGGAAAGACAGAGGAAAAACAAATGTACGTAAAAAGGAATAAAATAAGGTGAATAAATAAACAAAGAGAAAACAAATGGACGAGTTGGGAGGGGGTATTACACACGTCTTCGTTTGCCTTCACACCATTGAAGCATCAAGAGTACTGCAACTCAAAACTCCAAACTCCAGCCACCATTGACAATGATGAAACCATCAAAATATACATGGAAACACACTTAGAACCATAGTTTTAAAACCCGGCTCGGACACCAACCCGGAGAAGGGACCGAGTCAATGGATTTCTGGTTCAACCACNCCGGACACCAACCCGTAGAAGGGACCGGGTCAATGGATTTCTGATTCAACCACTGGGTCACTAGTCGAACCGGTGATATAATAAAAAAATAAAAAAATAATTATTAATGATGATAAATAGACTAAAAAATTAAAATAGTTATAAAAACAACATGTTTAATATATATTAAATCAAAGAAAGTTATCAAGCCTGAATCACTTAATTGCACTCAATTAACAAACCAATGCATTTAATTAACAGCCCAGCCTCCACCCTCAAACTTGAATCACTTAATTGCATTCACTTAATTTTTGCTTTAACAAACACTGAATGAATGATTTAGGATTTAACGCAAAACAGAAGGGAAAAAGAAAAAGACACAAAAATGTAAAAAAAAAACATATTTATACTAAAGGAACAAAAACGACCGATTTTGTAAACCCGGTCCGGTTTTCANTGTTAACAAACACTGAATGAATGATTTAGGATTTATGGCAAAATAGAAGGGAAAAAGAAAAAGACACAAAAATGTAAAAAAAAAACATATTTATACTAAAGGAACAAAAACGACGGGTTTTGTAAACCCGGTCCGATTTTCATGGATTACTGATTTTTTGACCGGTTCTTTGCTCAAACGGTCCAATTACAAAACCGGCCCGGTTAGGGGACCAGTTCACCGGGTCACTGGGTCAACCCGTCGGGCCGGGCCGGATTTTAAAACACTACTTAGAACATAGATGGAAGCATGAATCGTGAAGCTTTAGTACTGTAAGACAAAAAATAAGAGAGAAACAATGAAAATCATCTCAAAAAAATCTTGAGTGCCCTATTCTACTTATATATAGTTGAAATCCAAAATTTGAAGATTTAGGCAGGGGGTTCAAATTTTGATTTCTGATTGTTGAGTGAGAGTAAAGTTTGAATAGTTATGAGAAAATTCAAAGATTAGAAAAAAAAACTTTTCGGAGAAGCAATAGAGCGGTGGTGGTCGTTGGTGGTTCGCCTGAAGGAGGTGTGCTTGAAGGAGGTGTAGGGGTGGTGGAGTTGTCGGTGGTGGTGATCGCTGCTAGGTCGCCTAAATNACCTGAAGGAGGTGCGCTTGAAGGAGGTGTAGGGGTGGTGGAGTTGTCGGTGGTGGTGGTCGCTGCTAGGTCGCCTAAATGAAGTTAGGACACAAAGATGTTGGGGAAAGAAGAAATAATGGATTTTGGTTTCGGTTCAACTAAAAACGTCAATCCAATTGACGTTTTAGATAAAACGTCAATTGGACTAACGTTTTTAGTTGCTGGAATGGTCTACAGTGTTAAGCAAAAAAGGTCAAATCGAATGACGTCTTTTGGCCTAAAAAGGTCAAACTAACTGACCTTTTTAAAAGAACCTGGGTTTGGAAAATACTTTCAAACCAACTATTATTTGGGACTTTTTTTTCAAAACTGCTTGGGATGGGTCAAAAGCTCTTAGAAACGTGTAAAATTATCCAACTCAGTGAGTTGGGTAAAGCAAAGGAGTCGGACCCACTAATTCACCCTTCTCCAAAGGTTATTGTTGTTCAGTCCTTTATGAATTAGTGACTCCCATAATTAATGGTTTCATCATGGTTGTACGAAATGGACCAGTGTATTTGAGAAATTTTTGCATAGAATATCCACACCACGTGGTGTGTATATCCAATAAAAGGGGACACATGAGCAGTTGTCAGATGTATTACTCATGAACATTTTAACTCCTCTTTCTCCATACGTTACTTAACCTCCATTAGGATGACTGTTGTAAAGGTCAATTCAGCTGCATTTTTTAGACAAGTAATTGACTAGATATTGTAGCATTAATTACCCATTAATTAAAAATTCATTATTGTTTTAATTATTAATCATTCACCAACCACTTGTTTATTACCTTCTTCCATGGTAAAACTCTCATTCCCACTTCAAAGTAACATCTCTCCTTCAATCTCTCTTTCTTTTTCTCCATAGTCACGTTTTCTTGGAACTTGTACCCGATGGTGGTTAACGGGAGTAAATGGAAACTTTGTTTAAATGTAGAGCTGTATTGTGTTTGATAGTTTGCTCTCATGGCAATTTGTGCACACCACATCAACCTGCCATGTGGTGTGTCTAACCCATGCAAAAATTTCTCATTTTGTGAAAGCAAAAAATCCAGAGTCAACTTACGATAACCTCCAACGAAGGAAAGTCATGACAGATCATCTGTCTCACGTATGCCGAAGGGATGCTGAAACAGGGATGCACATTTTGCAAGAATGCTTTTGGGAAAAATTTTCTTGGCAGTTGAGCACTATTCACAGGATCGTTCATGTACCCAACATCAATCTAGTTCAATGGATGCGAGGTATTTACCAATTACTATAGGAAAAAGAGTTAGTTTTATTTTTAGTACAATTTTGGATGATTTGGAAACAAAAACGAAATGGTTTATTAGGGTATCTCAACCAATCTAGTGGGAATTACACAAGTTGCGATAGAGTATACTAAAAAAATGCAAGAGGCACTAGAGACAAGGGCATCAAATGATCGTCCACCCCCTATAGTTTCAGAAGCTGCAGCCATATGGGTTCCTCCCAAAGCAGGTATATTTAAGGTTAATTTCAGTGTGTTTGTTATAGATTTAGGCCAAACCTATGGCATAGGAGTTGTCATTAGGAATGAACTGGGGGTGTTTATGGTTGGACTCTCAAAGAAAATGGATGCAACTTGGGCAAATCAGGGAACTCAAGCAGCTGGTTTGTATGGAATGAGTGAAGCCATTATCATTTCACAGCAACAGGGGTTTGATGAGATAATCATTGAAGGAGACTTACCCAATGTTTTGAAGATATTCAAAGAATCAAGAGATGTGACTTCTTCAATGGGTCTCAGAGTTATTGATATAGCAAATGAATTACGAAAATTCCGTTCTTATGAAGTGGCGATTGTCAGTAGACAGGGCAATAGGGTAGCAACTAGATTAGCTTAACATGCCAATCTCATTGATAATGTATTTGTTTAGCAGGGGCAGCACCTGCGTTTATTATGTCGCTCCTTATTTCTGACATTCGATTAAAAAAAACTTACAACTTCTATTCAAAAAAAAAAAATAGAATGACAAATGTTAGATATTGGTTGGGTCATAGATCCAAATCGGGGCGTCCATGGTGGGTCGACCCAAATTAAAGAATGCCCAAAGGGGCATGACTTTTTGAGGTATCCTTTAGCACCTAAAATACATGTCTGTGAAATAGTAACAGACATGTCCCTACATGATGTGTCTCTTAATGACACCTATTAGTTGCCTATATAAACCCAAGGTAATCCAATATATGAGATATCTCCAGACAAATACTCTAACGTTGAAACTCTCCTACTCTCTTCTCTCTCTCCCTACATAACATTTGTAAGACTTTTGTGTTGTGAAAAACCTGGTGTTGATTCGTCTTATGTAACAACACCACAATTAAAGAAAAGACGTTGATTTAGATTCTAAAATACGTGGAACATCCTCAAACGATTTTTGGATTAAAACGAATAAGGTATGTCTTTGATCCTACGCTTCCGCAATTTGTTATAGAATTCCTAACATTGGTATCAGAGTTATACTAGGTATTCTCGTATGTTTGGTACCAATTACCAATAACTTAGAAATACTGTTTTTACAAAAAAGCTTTGAAAATGCTTTAATGACATCTTAAACAAAGGGCATCCAAATGCCAAGATATTTAAATATGTTATAGGCCATATAAACATAAACTGATCTAAAAATGAGAGTTTTGTTTTTCCAAAATTTTAATGTTTATACTTCAAAAACGTCGCACTCGTCGTTGTTGCCCTTAGTTCTGTCATAAGTAGAAAAGAATGGAAAACATCTTTGCACGGCAGATTCTTTGTTTTTCATTATGTTGTAGAATCCTTTTTTAATTACTGTCCATGTCTTTTAAGGATTTTTGGTTCCTGCCATAAATCATTGACGTTGAAAAAAAAATAAAATAAATAAAAACAAAAATAAATGAAAGACAATTGGAGTAGGAGAATGGGTTGACATGCCTTTTTTTTTTTTTTTGTGGACCCATTGCTTTAGGCTTTTGTTTTTTTTTTTTTGTTTTGTTTTGGTTTTTTTAATTCTACCATGGTGATGCATATAGTATATTTGGGCATTGGTCTTGGTTCATGTGAGATTTTCAGAATTTTTTTTTTACGGAATATTTAGTTTATGTTTCAAATATCTATGGACCATTATAATTTTTATATGATTGAATTTTATTTGTTTAAAATTCTAAAAATGAAATAGATGTATGATTTCTTATAAAGCCTATTGGTATTCTATATAGAATTATGTTGGCATGATGGATATGCTAGTTGCATTTATTTCATTAATCAAAATGATTTAAATTAGAATGTCATGTCTAATGTTTTTAGATTACATGTTTAGTAAAAATAAGAATGTGCGTGATATGAAATTAATTGTGATCAGGATACTTAGAGATACTATACTAGATCTAGTGGGAGCCTTATTTTGTTCGGTATTAGAAAACCGAAATTTTGCGCATTAATTAAATTAAGTATTATTAATGATCACTTGGGGTGTGAGAGATGATTGGGAACTTAAACTCCATTTGAGTTATGGAAAGGATGAAAACCTAGTTTAGTACATTTTCACATATAGGGCTATCCAATTGAGGTTAAGGTTTACAATCCACAATTAAAGAAATTGGACCCAAGGACAGTCAGTGGATATCTCATTGCCTATGCAGAAAAGTCTAAAGGTTATAAATTTTACTGTCCATCACACACACCTAGAATTGTTGAGGCTAAAAATGTAAAATTTATTGAGGGGGCTAACATTAGTGGGAGTATTCCGTGAAAGATTGAGTGAAAGGAATCACGGGATTCGGATACCATACCCGTAAATAAAAATAAGATGGTTATCATTTAGGATAATCCATATGATATTCAAGTACCACCACCACAAGAGGAATAAGTCAACATAGAGTTTATAGCTCAAAACCCACAAAATATGGATGAAACTGTCGAATTAAGGAGATCCTCAAGGGTAAAAAGACCAGCTATTTCTGATGATTACTTCGTGTACCTATTGGAGTTTGACTTTGATGTTGGACATAAGGATGATCCTATCTCGTTTCACATGCCATAAGTGGAGAAAATTCCACATTTTGGTACGGGGCCATGAAAGAAGAGATGGAGTCCATGGCTAAAAACCAAGTTTGAGAAATTGTTGAGTTACCTAAAGGAGTCAAGGTCGTTGGCTGTAAGTGGGCCTATAAGACCAAGAAAGACTCAAATGGTAATGTTGAACGATATAATGCCAGACTTGTAACTAAGGGCTTCACTCAAAGAGAAGGCATTGATTATCACAATACCTTCTTTCCAGTTTCTAAAAAGGACTTGACATTAGTAGCTCATTTCAATTTAGAGCTACATCAAAATGGATGTGAAAACAACCTTTTTAAATAAGGATCTTGACAAAGAAATGTACATGAAGCAGCTTGAAGGATTTTATTCTGATGAGGATAGTCACCTGGTTTGCAAGCTAAAGAAATCCATATATGGACTAAATCAGGCCTCCCATCAGTGGTATCTTAAGTTTCATAATGTTATTACCTCATATGGTTTTGAGGAGAATGTTGTGGATAATTGCATATACCTTAAGGTTAGTGGGAGTAAAATATATTTTTTTGGTCCTATATGTTGATGACATTCTACTTGCAGCCAATGATTTGAGTTTGTTGCATAAAACTAAAGAATTTTGTCACAAAGCTTTANAGAGTAAAATATATTTTTTTAGTCCTATATGTTGATGACATTCTACTTGCAGCCAATGATTTGAGTTTGTTGCATAAAACTAAAGAATTTTGTCACAAAGCTTTAAGATGAAGGATATGGGTGAAGCGTCCTATGTCATAAGCATAGAGATTCATAGAGACGTGACTCAAAGAAAATTGGATTTGTCTCATATAACTTACATTGAAAAGGTTTTGGAGAAATTCAAAATGAATGAATGCACACCTAATGCAACTCCAATCGTAAAGGGTGACAAATTTAGTTTGAGCCAGTGTCTGCAAAATGCTTTGGAAAAAGAACAAATGAATAGCATTCCCTATGCATCTGTTGTTGGCAGTTTGATGCATGCACAAGTTTGTGTAAGGCCTGACATTACATTTGTAGTAGGGATGCTTGGAAGGTACCAAAGCAATCCAGGAATGAAACATTGGAAGACAGCTAAGAAAGTTTTGAGGAAATTACAAGGAACCAAGGACTGTATGCTGACTTACAAGCATGTAGACTATCTTGAAGTGGTTGGATATTCTGAATCAGATTTTGCGGGTTGTTCGGATTCTAGAAAATCCACTTCGAGATATGTTTTTATGCTATTAGGAGGTGATATATCATGGAAAAGTGTCAAACAGACGATAGTTGCATCGTCTACTATGGAAGTAGAGTTTATAGCGTGCTTTGAAGCAACATCATAGGCAAAATGGTTAAGAAATTTTATCTTAGGGCTCCAGATTGTGGATTCTATATCCAGGCCTTAAGACTTTGCTGTGATAATTCGGCTACTGTTTTATTTTCTAAGAATATTAAAAGTGAAAGCCGAACCAAGCATATTGACATTAAGTATCCTGTTGTCAGAGAAAGAGTCAAGGAACAAGAAGTATCAATTGAGCATATTAGTACAAATCTGATGTTAGCAGATCCCATGACTAAAGAGCTCTCAATTAAGACGTATTTGAAATATGTAGAGAACATGAGATTAGTTGGCTCATTGTATGGTTGACTTCTTGGTTTGTAAATATTTGATCATGATCAATGCAAACTTTAGCTATTTTGTGCACATAATGTATTATTTGTGATATACTATTCATTGAGATTAGTATGTAGTCCATTGGGACTATAGGACCTGGAATGACTTGTAAGAAGTCATTTATAAGGAGTGATGCTACATAAGGTTCTAAGAAGATGATGCATTGTAGTACAAGGAAGGGAATGTTCATTTAAAAGAGCACAACCGCTTTGATTCGTGCATTATTTTTTTAAACAAAGTTTGGGTAGTTATTTAATTGTATGGCCATTTTCAGTATCAAATGTTGGATACCCAAATTGTCTGATGTGTCATGTGTGCCAAGTGAGAGAATGTTGAACTTTATGTCTAATTAATATTGGACTCCATCTCTAATTAGAGACTTAAAATGGCCCACATGCCATGTCATATTTTTAATAAATAAATATTATGTATATATATATATATATATATATATCTCCTATTTACTGAGTCAAATTCTTCTGGATAACTAACGTTAAGGTAACTACCCTCTACTCCCATCATTAGATGGAGTGACTATCAATGAACAGTTTAAAGCAGTTGTAACTCTTTGATGGAAGGACGTTACTTACAGTTTTTCTATTGGATAAGAGTCCTTGCCTATATGTATTCTCATGCTTGTGATTTTCCATCAAGTCATATATGTATTCAGATATCATATATGTAGGCAGGAAACTCTTATCTTATATACCTCCATACAGTACATATTTGTGAGGTTGTTCTTGAGTGTTGAGGCCAAGATTGTGATACGGATTCGTGCTTGTCGGGGTCGTTGGGTTCGTTGATTATTCTTTGTATAGAGAATTTGAATTTCTTGTTCTCGAACTTGAACGTCAATGGCAAGAGGTAAGTATTCAATTCCGCTATGCAAAATAGGAATATTAAATTCTTCAATAAAATCTTTCAATTAGAGCACAGAATTTGAGATTTGGGGGCGGGGGGGAGAAGGAAATAATGGAGAAGGAAAGAAGAGGGAATGAAATTGGATTTCGGTTCAACTAAAAAAATCAGTCCATTTGAGTGTTTGTCTAAAACGTCAATTAGGTTGACGTTTTTAGCTGCTAAAATGTATAGTTAAGCAAAAAACGTCAGTATGCTACATCCACTTATCTGCCACACCAGTTGCTAAACTTCAAGGTCTA